TCTCTCTCTGTCGTAGTCTGAGAAGTCAGGTGGCGAGAGGGTGAGAAGAGAAGGTGGACTTAGAAGAGGAAGAAGAAGAGCTCTCTCTCTCTCTGGGTCCAGTACTAACCTGTGAAGTTGGCGCCTTGATGCAGGTACCACGAAGATGGAGCTGGAGCGATGGCGCCACAGGTAAGTAGCACTGGCCTCCGCCAGTCTCTCTCCCACTCTACGATATACTACGTACGAGCGCCCAGCGCTGAAGACTAAGCTACAGCTATGGCGCCCAACGCCGAAGACTACAACTAGCGCTACCACTACTGCCTAGCGCTGAAGACTACTGCAGCGCTCCTCCTGAGTGCTGCGACCGAATGCTGAAGACTACCTCTACCTACTGACACGACCTCCCCGTGAAGTGCATGGGATCCTCCTATGTACTACGGGTGTGCCTCTTGAGCCTGCCGAAGGAAGGCAGGGGCTGCAGCTGCAGCTCCTGCTCGAGCACGTGAGGAACAGGCTATCTTGGGCCTGTTCTGCATCCCTGTTTCCGTGCCTGAGTCTTAGGGGCAGGTCGAAATAATGAGGGCCTGAAAATGGCCCTCCGTTTCAGGCTGAAACTCAAGGTCTGAAAAGACCAAGAAATAGGTTGAAATGAGGTAGGGCCTGCAGGCCCTCGTTTTTCAGCATCCAGGCTGAAATGAACGGGGCCTGTAAGCCCTAAGTTTTAGGCTTTTAGGCTGAATGTCCGGGACGGGCCCTGTAGGCCCGTGTGGCTACGNGCATCCAGGCTGAAATGAACGGGGCCTGTAAGCCCTAAGTTTTAGGCTTTTAGGCTGAATGTCCGGGACGGGCCCTGCAGGGCCCGTGTGGCTACGCAGTATGCCACCCCCCCCCCTCCTTGAAGAACCGAGCTTACCTGCGAGGGCGAAGCTGTCTGTCTGAGGGAGGGACCACAGTCCGGGTGGGAGGGGCTGGTCGTGAAGCTTCCTGAGCTAACCTGCGCTTTTCATAATGCGCGAAGATCAGCAGTGCGGATGCTTTCAAATCTGCGCCTGATATCCACCAAGTGTCGTCGCGATCGCATGCTTTGAATGTGACTTTATACTGCCGCGGCTTGCTGCCGTACTTGCGATCGGAGATGACGCGGTCAACTTCCTGATGGCCATCCATAGAAGGAGGGTCCTGCGATCGTCGGTCCGGAAAGTCGTTGCTCTTGGCTGGCGTGTAAGTTGCCAGCTTCGAGGCGTGGAAGACCGGATGGACCGTCAGATGCTCTGGAATGTTGATCACAAATGAAGGGCCATCGTGCTCATCGCCCGCGGCTGCTGTCACCGACCAAGGTCCAAACCACTTGGGAAGCAGTTTGCGTGAAACGTCCTGTTCGAGTGCAAACTCTTCCGCGGAGACCCAAACCAGATCACCGRCGCGGATGGGACATGGTACGAGACGCCTGTTGGCTTGCTGCTGCATGCGGACTTGAGCCTTTTGCATATTTGCGCGGGCTTGAGTCAGCAATTCCCTGTACTTCCGGACGGAAGAGGGAGAGCAGGCAGCGTCAATGTCGSCTGGTCGAGGGAGGAGAAGGTCGGCGAAGATCCGRCCTTTCCGTCCACCGTGGTGCAACTCGAATGGAGTCACGCCGATCGCCGGATGCACCGAAGTGTTGTAGGCGAACTCAATGTCGGGGAGGCGGTCAACCCAATCTTTCTGGTCCGGATGGATGAGCGTACGAAGCATCATTTGAGCGGTCTAATGTGCCCGCTCCGTCTGCCCGTCTGTCTGAGGGTGTCGAGCCGAACTTGGTTTCGTTGTTGTGCCGGACTCCTGCATGAGAGCAGTCCAAAACGCCGACATGAAACGAGTGTCGCGGTCGCTGACAATGTCTTCTGGTACACCGTGGCCACAAATCCAACCAATGTGCAGGAGGCGTGCCAGCTCGGGAGCTGTGGAGTAGTACTTGCAAGGGAGAAAACGCGCGTACTTACTCAATCGGTGGACAACCGTGAGGATGCCGCCGTGCCAGAGCCAGTCGCGAGGAAACGGACCGGTGACGTCCATGGCAATGGAGAGACCGGGTTTCCGTGGGATAGGCATCGGGTGTAACTCGCCGTAGGGATTGCGGTTGCGGGGCTTGCTGCGTCGGCAAACTTCGTAAGAGTCACAATACCAAGTGACATCGGTAATGAGGTCGGGCCATCGGAATCGCTGTCGAAGTCGTGCAATAGTGCGGTTGACTCCGAAATGGCCGACGGTCGCGTGGGACACATAGTAAGTCCTTGCCTCTCGAGTGGAGGAGCAAGTACCCGTCGGCAATGCGGTAATGGCTGGCCGGCGGGTGATCCGAAGATAGCTGTGCATAGAGCGTGCCGAAGTCCGGATCAGACTGATATGCCCGGATGAAGTGTCGCTGAAGCTCCGCGTCGAATGCGAAGGCATGATGTGTCATAGCGCAAAGATCAGGTCCTCGCGAGAGTGCATCTGCTGCGCGATTGGAGAGGCCGAGGACATGCTTTGGTGTGAAGTCAAATTGGTCGATGAAGTACATCCATCGTCCGATCG